AGGGTGTTTACTAAACTCGACCTTCGCAACGCCTACCATCTCGTGCGCATAAAGGAAGGGGACAAGTGGAAGACCCCGTTTAACACGCCCCTTGGGCACTTTGAATATCGCGTCCTCCTGTTCGGATTGGTCAACGCGCCTGCCGTGTTTCAGGCCCTCGTAAACGACGTCCTTCGGGACATGCTGAATATCTTTGTATTTGTCTACCTCGATGACATTTTGATTTTTTCGCCCTCTCTCCAAGTGCACATCCAACACGTGCGTCGTGTTCTTCAACGTCTTCTCGAGAATCGTCTCTTTGTAAAGGCAGAGAAGTGTTCGTTTCACGCTTCTTCCGTCTCGTTTCTTGGTTCGGTCATTTCCGCTGAGGGGATCAGTATGGACCCTAAGAAGGTGCAGGCGGTTACTGATTGGCCCGTTCCCGACTCCCGAGTCACGCTTCAGAGATTCCTTGGTTTCGCCAATTTTTACCGTCGGTTTATACGTAACTTCAGTCAGGTGGCCGCGCCCCTCACCGCCCTGACTTTGGTTAAGTCTAAATTTGTGTGGTCTGACTCCGCGCAGCGCGCTTTTGAGCTTCTCAAGTCTCGTTTCACTTCCGCGCCTATTCTGCTCACCCCCGATATTTCGAGACAATTCATCGTCGAGGTCGATGCTTCTGAGGTGGGGGTCGGGGCCGTTCTTTCTCAACGCTCACCTGCTGATGAGAGTGCATCCCTGCGCTTTTTTTTCGCATCGCCTCTCACCCGCTGAACGCAACTATGACGTCGGGAATCGTGAGTTACTCGCCATCCGGTTGGCTTTGGGTGAATGGCGTCAATGGTTGGAGGAAGCTCCGATTCCGTTCATTGTCTGGACGGACCACAGAAACCTAGAGTATATTCGTTCTGCCAAAAGATTGAACGCTCGCCAGGCTCGCTGGGCACTGTTCTTTACTCGTTTTAATTTCTCTATTTCTTATCGTCCCGGCTCTAAGAACGTCAAGCCAGACGCGCTTTCCCGTCTTTTCGACTCCTCGGCCTGAGGAGGTGATTCCCTCCTGGTGCGTGGTGGGGGGGCAGTATGGGGTGTCGAGAGGATGGTTAAGCGCGCCCTCGCTCACGCTATCATCCCGCGCAATTGTCCTAGACACTGCCTGTTTGTTCCTCTCGCCACACGTTTGGCAGTCCTCCAGTGGGGACACGCCTCTAAATTGTCCGTCCACCCCGGCGTGCGGGGCACGCTCGCGAATATCCGCCAGCGTTTTTGGTGGCCCTCGTTGGAACGTGATGCGCGTCGATTTGTGGCAGCTTGTGGGAATTGTGCCCAGACTAAGACTGGTAACTCGCCCCTTGCCGGGTTACTTCGTCCGCTACCGGTTCCGTCGCGTCCTTGGTCCCATATTGGACTCGACTTTATCACTGGCCTTCCTCCCTCTGCAGGCAACACGGTAATTTTAACGGTCGTTAATCGCTTCTCTAAATCTGCGCACTTTATCCCGCTCACCAAACTTCCGTCGGCTAAAGAGACAGCCCAGGTCATGGTCGATCAGGTATTTAGGATTTACGGTCTTCCTACCGATGTGGTTTCTGATAGGGGACCACAGTTCTCCTCTCAGTTTTGGAAGGAGTTCTGTCTTCTAATCGATGCTTCCGTTAGCCTCTCGTCCGGCTTTCATCCCCAGACCAATGGACAGGCAGAACGGGCCAATCAGATCGTCGCTCGCATGCTTCGCAGTCTCGCTCACCGTAATCCCTCGTCTTGGTCCGAGCAACTCGTGTGGGCTGAATACGCTCATAACTCTCTGCCTACTTCAGCCACCGGGTTATCCCCGTTTCATTGTTGCCTGGGTTATCAGCCTCCGTTATTCCCCTTGCAGGAGTCGGAGTCTAATGTACCTTCGGTCCAAGCGTTTATCGATCGCTGTAGGCGCACTTGGAGAGGGGTGAGATCCGCTCTTTGTCGCTAGAGGAGACGCTTGAGCATCTCCGCGAATAAGCATCGCGTTAAGAACCCGCGTTACGCTTGTGGTCAAAAAATATGGTTGTCCACCTCCAATTTACCCCTCCAGTCGGATTCTCGTAAACTGTCTCCTCGTTTTGTCGGTCCGTTTCGCATCATTAAGATCATCAGCCCTGTGGCGGTTAAGCTTTCTCTTCCTCCCAATTTCCGTCGTGTCCACCCTGTATTCCATGTTTCGTATATCAAGCCTGCGGTGCGCGCTCCTGGTCGTCCGTCCGTTCCTCCTCTTCGTGTGGAGGGCTCCCCGGTTTACAAGGTTTGTCGTCTCTTAGATATGCGCGGTCGTGGGCATCAATTCTTAGTAGATTGGGAGGGATACGGTCCTGAGGAGAGGAGTTGGGTCTCGTCCCGGGACATCCTGGATCCCTCGCTCGTCGATGATTTCCTCCGGTCTCGGCAGTCCTCCTCCTCGGAAGCGCCAGGAGGCGCTCGTAGAGGAGGGGGTACTGTCATGATCCTGGTCCCTTTCTCGGTTCTTTGTCTCCCCCTGTTGGTTATCATGTGTTCTCGCTTCTGTTCTCGCTTCTCCGCTGTTTCATTATCTACAGCTGCGGCTGCTTTATGCTCGTTATCCAATCATTCTTTCACACCTGCTCTCCCTTTTCTCTAATTCTGTCGGCTTCTTTTACCACTGCTTTTCTCTACCTCTTTGCCAGATTATTCTTTGAGCCAAGACGTGTTAGTCTGTGTATGTTACCTCTCGTGCGAGTCCTGACTTTTTGCTGCAAACGCTTTTGGGTCCTCTGTCTGTCTCCTCTTCACAGTTAATAAATAACGTTTTTTGATTGATCCATTATACGATCCGTCTTCATTTGGCAAGTGCACTTGCGCAAAAACATTTTTCATGCTGAACTTTTTTTTTCTTTTTTTTTTTGTGGATGCTGCTGATAAAACAGCTTAGCCGAGACTTCAGAGACAAAGTTTGTTTGTTTCTTTTGTAAAAGTTTCCTGGATATAACTTCCCTATTTAATGCACAATTTTCCCTAAATTATATTATCAGCATTTAATGCTGATAATAGCATTACAATGTGAGTAAATGTAGCTGTGTAAAATGTAAGGGATGATGCCATCCTTCTAGAACAATGCATTTACGTTTAAATTGTAACATATTTAATAGCATGGAATAAAAGTGTGATTCTCATTTATCAAAACACTAACACTGGTAACGTTTTGGAGAGAAATTGGGTATATTTTTTATTTTATTTAACCCATCTCTTGGTGTGTGATGCTGAACTATCATACGAGTTTCTAAAGGTTTTTGAATTCTTTGCACAGTTATGAATATTGATATTTTATGTGCAACAATAACATGCTCAGGCCCAGTGGCTTTTCGCCTAATTTTAAATGCTTTTTCCCCCAAATAATATGATTTAAATGGTGATGAGTGTACAGATTTGATGGATTTTAAAAAGATGGATGATAGATATTCTTCAATCTTTCTTACAAAGAACAAAATATAATGTGAATTCCAGTATATGCATTTTTTTAATTTATAAATTGTAGTGCACACTGCACAGTGTTTATTATAAGGGTTAGAATCCGCACCTCAGTACTCACTACTCACTACTCATGAGTACTTTTAAATAAGCTACTTTTTTACTCTTACTCAAGTAGTTTTTTGGACAAGTACTTTTTACTCGACTCACACTACATTTTTTGGAATGTAATGGTACTTTTACTTGAGTATGTTTTTTCAGTACTCTTTCCACCACTGTCTGTTTCTCTCCCAGTGCCTCCCAACAACTGCATCTGTGCTACAAGTGTTTTTTGGGTACTTTTCCACTCTCTCGTCCCTGTTCTCATGTGCCCTAAGACCCTAGTTTTTTCTGCTTGGCATTACATCACATGCACACTTCTTTCACATGCACAGCATGCTTCTTGGACAAGCAGAATTCTCCAACACCTGTCGATTGTGAGGATGAAGATATTATCATTGCAATGCAGTCTCTCCGCAAGTTGAGGAAACAGTCGTCGGTGAAATGTTTGAAAATTTCCAGAGAAAATAAAATTAATCTATTGTTTTTTCAGAGGCTCGGATGAAGGAACTAAAAATACTTTTGTGTTGATGTGTACATCGTCTGTCACTGAACATGGGCTGGCATATGCAAATGTTTGGGGTCGTACATATTAATGATCTTGACTGTTACGTAACAGTCGGTATTATGTGGAGATTCGCCTGTTTTATAGGGGTGTTTTTCAAAAACGAGATTTAAGTAAGAAGGAGAAAACAATGATGTTTGAGACTCACTGTATGTCATGTCCATGTACTGAACTCTTGTTATGTAACTATGCCAACATAAATTCAATTTCACATTCTAGGGCACCTTTAAAGAAAATCTCTTCATCACAGTAGTCTGGTAAAATGCTGTAAGTAACTCTTACAATCAAATATTCAGTCTGATTCGTATAAACACAATAAATAAACACAAATATCTTGTCTGCTGGGCTTGTAAATGCATGATACATGTTTAATGTGACGTTATAAGGATCATTAGATCACGGCCCTGCTGCGTATCTAAAACTGAAGAAGTGGGAAAGCTGTTGGACAGTAAATTCTCCTTTATTACACACACTCGCGTATTTATCACGAGCTTGAATCCGGTTATTCATAGTCAGAAACTTATTGATGCTTTTCTGTTTTATCATGAATAACGTGATGCTTCAATAACGCGTTGTTCCGTAACAGAGATGTACGCGCTGTTCCTCCTGCATTCTCAAAGGCTCATATACATGTGTGTGTGATACACAGTCTAATGCAGTGTTTCCCAACCCTGTTCCTGGCGGCACACCAACACTGCGTGTTTTCTTTGTCTCCCTAATCAAACACACCCGATTCAACCCATCAGCTCATTAACCCACCTGATTATGAGCTGATGGGTTGAATCAGGTGTGTTTGATAAGGGAGACAAAGAAAACACGCAGTGTTGGTGTGCCGCCAGGAACAGGATTGGGAAACACTGGTCTGATGGTCTAACTCCAACCAATCCACATGATGAACATATTTTACTGGAGCAATATTATGGGCCTTAGCCTTACACTTCCTACTTGAGCCAATGCAGAACACACACACACTCACTCACTGTTGTGTTTTCTCTCCATCAGATCTTCTTCCGCTCACTCTGGATCTGAACACTGTGTGTAAAGACCTCCGTCTGTCTGAGGAGAACAGAGTGATTACTTACACTGACACACTTCAGCCGTATCCTGATCATCCAGACAGATTTGATGTGTATTCTCAGGTGTTGTGTAGAGAGAGTGTGTGTGAACGCTGTTACTGGGAGATTGAGTGGAGTGGTGATGGTGTGTGTATATCAGTGTCATATAAGAGCATCAGCAGGAAGGGACAGGGTAATGTGTGTCTGTTTGGATCTAATGATCAGTCCTGGAGTTTGACCTGCTCTCCTGACAGATACACATTCAGACACAATAACAGACAGACTGACTGTGTGTGTGACAGGAGAAGAGGAGAGTGTGTGTGTGACAGGAGAATAGGAGTGTATGTGGATCCCAGTGCAGGAACTCTGTCCTTCTACAGCGTCTCTGACACAACGAGCCTCATACACACAGTCCAGACCACATTCACACACACACTCTATCCTGGGTTTGGGGTTAATTATCGATCATCAGTGAAACTGTGTTGATGAGTGAGAACAGACTGTACCCATAATGCTTTGGGTGCCGCATGATAAAGCAGTCAGAGTGAGATGTTGTTGCGTCTCTTATTGTCTCTTGATTCCAGTAATAACAGCTGACCTGCTGTCAGTGAAATAAAGAGAAAGCCAGAAGAACAGGCAGTGACACACAGAGAAGAGAGAGGAAATATGAGACACAATGAGACTCACTGCAAACATGTCTGATGATACGAGCCAATCCAAGACTTTCACTTTCAGACATTCATAGATGTGTGTGTTAGGCTCCTCCCCTTCACTTCTGGATCCAGTTTAAAACAGCATTACTTTGCTCTGGGTGATGTGTGTATTATTACAGACGGCTCTGTTGATATATAGTGTGTGTACTGGACTAAACCTGTTAGTGGCTGTTCTTCTTTTATTATTAGTTCTGCTTTATCTTTTGATTGTTCGTCTCTGTTGTGCAAATTCAAGAAATAAAACACTCTGAAAGATCATCTCAAAACACAGAGATGCGAAAGATACAAGCAACAATTAAAGTCAAGTGTGTGTGTGTGTGTGTGTGTGTGTGTGTGTGTGTGTGTGGTTCTCACTTGATTTACAGCATTTATCATGTTATTATTGTTGTTGTTGTCAGGGTTATGTTTAGTTTTGCTGTTTTTCTTCATATTTGAGTTTCTCTTGATCTTTATTCCCTTTTTCTGTTAACAAACAAGTATTGATTACTTCTATGAGTTTATCATGTTTAAATGAACACATTTTCCACTAACTGTGATTTGTGTGTGTGTGTGTGTGTTTCTGAAGTGTGTAACTTAGACAGTTTCCTCCGATAACAGATCTCTAGATTATAATGTGTGTTTTCTGCTTTGAAATGATGTGTATTGTGAAAAGCGCTGTACAAATAAATGTGAAGTGAATTAAAAGAGTTTTATCTTATAAATCTGTTGCTTCTTTCACACAGTTTCACATTTCTTCAATCTTCAATTGTTAAGGTGTAATTTTTCAACAATATTGTGTTACAATCTCTGTGTGTGAAAATACAAAAGTGAGGAAAACATTATTGAGAATAAAAGTCTTATTGTGCTTATATTCAACATTTACCATTAGCTTTTCTTTTACGATGTTTACTTTTGTTGAACCGCTGTTATTAATATTTTATGTAATATTAGTAGTATTAGTAGTCTGCTTATTTTAGGTGTTTATATGTCTCTATTTATTCCATACATCAAGATTTTCACATCCAGTGTTTTCTAGCAGTTAAAGCAACTTCCTGACTACAAACATGTCAAGTTTTAAAGCTCTCAGAGTTTGTGTGATTGATCTGCACTAGTTTTTATATCTTAACTCCCATACGGACAGGATATATTTTAGTCCTTTTTTGTTTAAGGGTGTATAAAACTATCTGTTAATTTAACAATCTTAGCATTCAAATATTATTAGCCAAGTATCCATTTCATATATGGGAGACCTTAGGGATGAGGAAAAACATTGTTGCGTTTAGTTCTACTTCCGATAGGGGTCTCTCAAAAACTAAAGCACTTTTTGACCATTCGTCACTAGCCTAAAATGTTTATTAGTGCTTCACACTCCAGTCCAGCTGGTGGCGGTAATGCACCGAAAGTTGGTTTGCCAACCGCCATAAAACTCCATTAGAAGAAGAAGAAAGCGCGTCGTTGCGGAAATGACGTGTCCAGGCGGAAGTGACGAGCCGTTGTGATGGATGAGCCGCTGCTGCTGTTGTGATGCTCCTCTTCTGAAGGAAAGCTCATTTCTCCAGCAACATCCAGCATGAACTGATCGCTGCACGGACTGACAGCTGTGATTGTGAGTTCAGTCCTCCGTGTTTTATTGATTATATGATCTGTAGTCTGTCAGTTTATAATGAGACGCACGAGCAGCGCCTGTAGTTTATATCATCTGTGTTCAATAAGAATCTGTTTTAGCACTTCGACACAGAAATCTTCCTCTAAACACACATGAACATCTGATAGATTAGCAAACACATCACTGAATGATAATGTGTGACACACATGAGTGTGTGTTTTAATGACAAACTAAGTGTAATTATAGAAATATCTAATCAAAGTATTTATAATATTGGTAAAACTTTACTGTGAGTTTTCATTAGTTAACATGAACTAACAATGAGCAGTACATCTGTTCATCTTTATGTTATTTGTGTCATTTGTTAATATATTATTAAATCAACAGTTGCTTCGGTTAACATTATTTAATGGACCATTATTGAACAGTTGTGTTTTAAACTTATTAAAAGTGATGTTTTCTAATGAGATGTAAAAGTGTTACCAAAGTATTATTTCTGTTTTATTATATTTGTTCAGCCGAACCCCATTAATAATCTGACAGTGATTGAGCTGCTATGAGTGTTTAGAGCTGACGGAGGTGGTGTGTGTTTCTCAGGAGTGTGTGTGTGTGTGTGTGTGTGTGTGTGTGTGTGTGATGGCTGGGAAGGTGAAGTGGGTGACGGACATGGAGAAATCGGTGCTAATCAATAACTTTGAGAAGAGAGGATGGATCCAGGTGACGGACAGCGACGACTGGAACTTCTACTGGCAAGAGCTCGTTTCATTTCATCCGTTCACACTGACACTGCAAAGCTGAAGTACACACTGAAGCACTTGATCAGATCAGTGCTAGGGCTGAATCCAGTTTCACACACACACACACTACTGGTGTTCAGATGAACTGTTTGAGCCGTTCACGGTGGACTGTGGTCGTACGACTGTGTCCTGAGGGAAATACTACTGTGCTGTATGAGTGGGGGATTCACACATAAACTTGCTTTAAATATTTCACTGATGTTTTCAGACATTACAAACAAAGTCTGGAGGATTCATGAACAGTACTTTAAAAAAATGTAAAAGTACCCCTTTCTCCTACAATTTACAATCTACAATTTTTATATAATTCAATGGAAATATATTTTCAAAATGATATGACCTGAAAGATCATAATGTGTAGATTCTGTGCATTTATAACCATACTAATATTTTTCTATTAATTAAATTATCATTTAATGAACTTCTGTTGTGGTGATGATACACAAGTTATGGATATGAGGTTGATTATTTCAGTAATGATAATAAGTATACTAGGCTTTTGTTAAAAACAGAATAATATTTTCAGGTTCAGATCAGTTTTATTTTGTAGTGCTTCAAAAATACACAATCAAAGAACAAAACAAAGAGTGGCAGGTTGTAGATCTGGAATAATGGCTTTAGTTAGTTCACCCAAAAATGAAAATTATGTCATTAATGAAACTGATCACTTAAAAACACACCTTACATGTATTTCCTATAGTAGTAACTATAAATCAAGCAGAATTACATGCAAATAACCCTCAACCAAATCCTGATCCTTTCTAAAACCCCCCAATAAGTACATGTGGTTATTTAATATTACTCAGTACTTAAATCTTTAATTTCACTTTAACACGGACAAATGCAAATAAAGTGTAACGAAAATAAAAATGATTAAACTGGAATAAAACTCAGCCATTTGCGGATGTCTTTCTCCAATCCAGGCCAGTATAATCTGCTGCTGAGAGCTTCAAGTGTTTTCTCCATGCCACAATGACCCCCTGATCACTGGCATGAAGGTTAACAAAAGCAGAATTTGCCTCCTCTGGTGACGTCACCACTTTTGCCAAATGTTTGCCTCGCTTGCGCCTGTGGCATATATAGTGAAGCACGCCATCTAATGTGGATAACACAAAGGCTCAGGTAACTTCCATTGTTTCATTCCACTTTCATGGTGTAAAATATTTGTATTATACATGTAAGAATACCCCTAACAATGTACCGCTACATCACAACATACTTTTATTATGAGGCGTCCTTCCTTATGTACATTACCACTGTTTCATTACTGTCCAGTGTGGCTTTTTTTGTAAAGTTATGATCAAACCACTATGATCTTTTAACATAGTCATTTACATCTTTCAAGTGCTGCACCCTTAACAGAGTTAATGTTGTTTTGACTGAAAATTCAGTGATTTAACCAGTTTCTTAAATGTTAAAAGTGTGTTTTACACCACTACAAATGCTTAAATACAGCATGTCAGAAATTCATAGCTATTTTCAAGACCGTCAATATATTATAAAGCCTCTATACTTTAGCAACAACAGGTGCTTAGAAGTACTGGGGGGGGGGGGGGGGGATTACATTACTGAGACACCAGATAAGTAGTTTTAGATAACAAATGAGTGAAATATTGAGAAATAGCTGATCCCACTCTCAGTCTGACACATAGTCAGGTGTTGAAGTTCTTCACATTACTTGGCCACACACACACAAAGAGTGTCTGAATTGCTTCTGATAAGCGTGGATGTTCAACACAGAGAAAGTCTGAATTTAGTGCAAAAACTCACAATTAATAATGTTTTATTCCTGGTGGGAAATAGCTTCCACAGGCCATTTAGGTTAGATTTGTTGTTGATCAAAGGCAGCAATGTTATGTTTCCATTTAACTCAAAGCTTCATGTACAGCTTTTACTGCACCGACTCCAGTACCACTTTTCCCACATGCAGAATATGCGGTCAGTGTAGGGCACAAACTAAGGGGGCACCGTCAACACCCATATGGGCCCTATCAACACTCTGACACTCACAAAAAGCAGGTTCGGACTGTAGATTCAGGTAATGACTCATGCACTTGTAGATAGTATGATGTAAAGCTGCATACATTAAATAGTCAACAAGCAATTAGGGGTGAAAGAAAGGAGACAAAAAAACTATGGATTTCATATTGTCTTCTGAAATAAACATAATGACAAACACTGCAGTTGTCATAATGCCATTACTTTTTTTTAATTCCACAACATTGTGCTTTGATTGAGTAGCCTATATGGTTATTACGTCCCGCGTCTAGGGGAATATAAATCATACGAGGCGTAATAAATTATTGGGTTGTGGAAAGGGAATCCCAGGACGTATCACTCCGGTCGAGAATCAAAACCTCAAACACAAACCTTAAGAAAAATGTAAAGAATTTATTAAGGAATTAACAAGTGAAATAAAGAGCAAATCTTCAGGGTGTCCAAAAGGCCAAAATAACAAACAAAACGAATGTAAAAGAAAAGAGGGGAAATTAATAACCTAATCCAATATCAAAAGAAAATACATTGATCTTACCTAACTCCCTACTCAAAAACAGAGGTCAAACAAGATCGAAATAAACAAGGCAGGACACCCCTACACGCTCCACTTTGTTAAGTTGTTTTAAACATAAGAACAGGATTCAGATGGACTAATTAATCTCTTAGACAACATTTGATCATCGGCCGGAGGAGGGATTCCGGAGCTCTCAACCCGCGTGCGGCCGAACCAACAATGAGCTCCCCGATCATTTCCAGCAGCGTCCTTATAAAGTCCACGTTCCGGCTGGACAACCAATGGCGGCTTACAACCCGGATTGGTTCACCGGTTTCCTGTTTGAAATTAAAGCAACAAGAAAGAAAGAGGGGTAGAAAAGAAAGAAAATACAAAAAAAACAAAGCAATAAAACAAACCAAATCACAGGTCGTAACACCCTCACACACAAAGAATCTACATACAATAAAGTATAGTAGATTTACTCGGAAGCAAACGACCGTGATAGTGCATCAGCCAACACGTTATCTTTCCCCTTCTTAAAACGAATTTCCAGGTTAAAATCCTGGACAAAGAGAGACCAGCGCATGATTCGTTGATTTGAATTTTTCATCCGAGACAAGAAAACTAATGGGTTGTGATCTGTATATACAGTCACCGGAAGAGAACTAGAGCCAATGTATACCTCGAAATGTTGTAGGGCCAATACAAAAGCTAACGCTTCCTTCTCAATGGTACTGTAATTTAACTGATGTTTCAGGAATTTCTTTGAGAAGTACCCGACAGGATGCTCAATCCCAGCTTCATCCTCCTGCAAAAGGACAGCACCGCCACCAGTAGCACTCGCATCAACCTCCAACTGAAATGCACATGAATAATTTGGAGCAATTAACACTGGACTACTACTCAAAATGTTTTTAACAGAATCGAATGCAGTTTGACATTCATCAGACCACTCAAAATTTTGTGATATACGAAGCAGATTTGTTAAAGGCAACACAACATCAGAGAAATTCTTACAAAATCCCCGATAATATCCAGACATTCCTAGGAATCTCCTAAGTTCCCGCTTCGTACGAGGCACTGCAAACTCCGTAATAGCCCGTACTTTCAAAGCCACGGGTCGAACCTGTCCTTGCCCCACCTGTTTTCCTAGGTAGGTAATTGTAGCTTTGCCAAACTCGCACTTAGACAAATTAAGAGTGAGCGATGCATCCAGTAAACGAGCAAAAACTGTGCTTAATGTTGTCAAGTGTTCATCCCAGGTATTCGAGTAAACAACGATATCATCCAGGTAGGCTTTACAGTTAGCAACACCGCCCAACACTCGGCTCATCAAACGCTGGAACGTAGCCGGAGCGTTGCGCAAACCGAAAGCCATCACCTTATAATTAAGAAAATCATCCGGAGTAACAAAGGCAGATATTTCAGCCGCGCGCTCCGTCAAGGGAACTTGCCAGTACCCCTTTAGCATATCAAGTTTTGTGACAAAGCACGCAGAGCCTACATTATCTATGCAATCCTCCATAAGCGGGAGGGGAAACGAATCTGGCTTTGTCACGGCATTTACTCTTCTATAATCCGTGCAGAACCGTTGTGTTCCGTCCGCTTTCGGGACCAATAAACAGGGTGAACTCCAGGCGCTGAAACTCGGAACTGCGAATCCATTCTCAACTAGATATTTTGCCTCAGCCTCCATCAATTTACGTTTCACAGGGTTCACTTTATAAGCACGTTGTTTAATCGGTGAATGATCACCCACATCGATATCGTGCTTCAGTACTTGAGTGCAAGTAGGAACATCTGAAAATAACCCCAAGAATGAGTTTATCAACTTCACAATGTCAGCGCGTTGGCCATCAGATAAATGTGACAGATGAGAGTTTAAATTCCCCAAAATCGTGGAGTTATCCAATCTACCACCCAACATCAGAGTACTCTGTAATTTCAGTCCATCTTCATCAACATCACTGTTAGAAGCAATCACAATCGAAGCTACTGGAGTGATAACAGAGCTTTTTGACTCCATATCTTCCCCACGACTCACATACAGCTTCAGCATGTTTACATGACACACGCAAGTTTTTCTTTGCCGATCAGGAGTCCGAACAACATAATTGGTCTCATTCAGCTTCTTTTCAATGACATATGGACCAGAAAATCTAGCCTGTAATGCAGCACCCTGGATTGGTAATAAAACCAGGACCTTGTCCCCCTCAGAGAACGAACGAGGAACAGCACTCTTATCGAAACGTTCCTTCATTTTCACTTGCGTACTGTCCAACGCAGTTTGAGCTAATTTACATGCTCTATGCAATCGCTCTTTAAAGGAACTGACATAGTCTAGCAAGTTACAATCAAATTTTTTCTCAGCCAGCCAGTTCTCTCTCAACATTTTGAGTGGGCCCCTTACTGTGTGTCCGAAAACCAGTTCTGCAGGACTAAATCCTAATGACTCCTGAACACTCTCACGGACAGCAAACATAAGAAAAGGCAATCCCTCATCCCAGTCTTTCTCTGACTCGACACAATATTTACTCAGCATGGACTTCAAGGTCTGGTGGAACCTTTCGAGAGCACCTTGGGACTCTGGATGATAGGCACTAGATGTAATGTGCTTAATTTTCAATTGGGACAGTACCTGTTTAAATAGTCGTGACATAAAATTTGTTCCCTGATCCGTTTGGATCAACTGAGGAAAGCCAAAAGTAGAAAAGAATGTGATTAGGGCTTTCACCACAGCCTTCGCTTTTAATGAACGCAACGGAACTGCCTCCGGATAGCGAGTTGTCGCGCACATGAGCGTAAGCAAATAAACATGTCCAGATCTTGTTCGCGGTAACGGTCCAACACAGTCCAATATTACTCGTGCGAAAGGCTCTCCCATTACAGGAATAGGTACAAGTGGTGCAGGAGGTATAATCTGGGTAGGTTTTCCCACGACCTGACACACGTGGCATGAGCGACAGTACTGCGCCACATCAGATTTAATTCCAGGCCAGAAAAAATAGCGCAAAATGCGAGAATAGGTTTTAGTGATACCCAGATGTCCTGCTACATTATCATGAGCCACACTCAGAACTTGTTTTCGAAAGCATTTAGGCACAACTAGTTGAAAAACAATATCCCAACCTAAACCATCAGACCCTGCAGGAGTCCACTTCCTCTTCAACACTTCGTTATCCCAAAAGTATCCAATCGATTTATTTTCAATCTCCTTCAAATTAAACGCCGCATTCCTGCAACGCGAGAGAGAAGTGTCTTTTTTCTG